TTTTCCATACACTCTAATAGTATGGTTGTCAGCAGTCTCCTTTATTAGTACTTCAGGGTAGTCTTTTTTGTGTTCTCTTTTTAGCTTTTGCTACCTCATGAGTGGAAATGCTCTTCTCTTTACTGAGGTCAATGACTTTTGAGACAAGTTTTGTGTGAATCCCTTGAACAAATGACACAAAGGTCTCATATGCTTTGTTTACATCTTCCAGTTTTACCTTTCGCAGGTATTATAGATAAAGCTCTCACCACCATTCCATACAAATTCTACATTGTACTTTTTTTCATCAGCTTTTAATTTGTCCAAATGAACATGGTATACAAATCCCAGGACATCTGCACCCACTGTAGCTTCTCTAACTGATTTATTAGCTTCATTCGCTCCACTTGGATTGGAGGAATTTGTGCTATGCTCCTTTTCACCTGTTACTGCACCACTACTTTGGTCTGTCTGTACCACAGGTGGATTAATTCCAATTGCATCACAATACTCTGTTAATGTCTTCCTCAATTCTGTTTCATCTTCACTCATGAAATAAAGAACTGCTTTTTGTTTAACAACAGTAACTTTTGATCTGTGTATTATTTGCTTTGCACGTTCAGATCTATAATCAGTGTTAGCAAAATTCAAATCAATTATGTTGTATTTTATTTTCTCTCTAACCAAATCAAATATTTGTTTGAATTCTTTTGATGCAGTTACCAGATCCGCGTTTGAAGCTGTAACTTTTGGTTTAATGACAACCATTCCATTATCTGTTATATAATCAAAGTCAATTTCCACATTATATTTTGTTTGTATTTTCCCAATTTTGGCCTTGTGATTTACAAGGAAAAAACGCAACGTGGGATAATGATAATGAGACTTTATTACTGACTGTTCATTGAAGTTAGTTTCACTAAACTTTTCAGCATCAACTGATTTTGTTTTATCTTCATCCTGTTTATGTTCCATTTTGTTAAGACCAGTATGGTTTGAAACTTTTGGTTTGGATTCAACATCTCCAGTTGAACTGCTTTCTTTGTCATCAGTGTTGCCTGTTAGAGGGGTTCCTGGCGAGCGATTAGGTCCACCTAATTTAGTAGCCTCTCTTTTCTTTATACTATTTCCAGTCTTAGTATCAGTTTCTCTTTCTGGGCAATTAGGAGAGCTGTTGTCAGATGCAGCTGTAGTATCGATAGAGTTATTTTCAACACTTTCTTTAGGGAATTTTTCATTGCTAGGTGCTAAACCTTCTGTCGTTTTAGACATTGCTGTTGCTGTAGCATAAGTTTTGCCAGTTTGGAGATTTTCGTTGATTTGGTTCTTTTGTGTACGACTAGATGTTCCTTGAATAGAACCTGCTTTCTTTGCATTCGGTCCAGTCACTGTAATGTTTTCTCTACTATGAAGATTTGTGTTGATATTATCCTCTCGTGTATAACTAGATTGGGCTTTGGTAGAACCAGTACTATCAGATGATTGGCTGCCAGACTCCGCGATGATATTGGGATTGTTACCTTCAACATATCCTTGACTGGTACTGGATTTGCTATGACTAAGTACAGATCCTGCTGTAGCACGCGATTTGTCAATTGGGTGATTTGTGTTGATATGATTCCCTTGTGAATGGCTTGATGGGGCTTGGGTAGAATCTACATTTTTTGCATTAGTTTCAACCTCTGTACTGTTTTCTCCTGCATGGAAATCATTACTATCAGACCCCGCGATGGTATTGGAATTGCTATCTTCTTCATATGCTTTACTGGTATTGGATTTGCTATAACTTGGCATTTTATTACTGTCATCTTTGTACCCCATAGTGATGTTGTTTTTAGTTGAATCACCTATGACACTAGGTGGTGATTTGATATCTTTTTGAGAGGGACCATCTTCTGCTTGAGGAGAACCATTCATGTTATCTAATTTATCAGCCACATCTTCATGCTTATCATCTCTGTTATCTTTCAGTATATTGTCAGCCTGATTAGGCTGTTTAATGTCAGATGACTTCCCTTTTTGAGGATCTTCATCAGGTTGGTTACTCAGTGCAGAGTTTTTTAGATGTTTTTTAGCTGCAGTATTACTACATAGCGAATTTTCATGATCACATATACAACTTTGATCATCAACCTGCTCTCCACTTTCCCCTTCATCAAGATGATCAAGTTCATTTTTATTTGATCTATCATTAGGCAAAACAGCTGTCAATTGCTGGATGTCTCCAAAACTGTCATGGGGTGCAGTGTTATTCTCACCAACGACTACCGATTCACTGAAGGATACAGCAATACCTGGATATTTTCTTTTACTTGATGCATTAAGGTGAGTATTGTCATCTTTTTTAGGTGTAGTAACTACTTGTTGAGCTGATGCAGAGGTATGTATCTTGTCTAATTTGGAGTCATTGATGGTTCTATTTGTCTTCATCAGTTGTAGCAGTGCACACTCTGCATGGTATACTTGAATTGCAGTCCCTTTAACTCTGACATCATCGTCAGCACATTGCCAGGACTTTAGTTTTCCATCCTTCACCATCTTCTCAAGTACAGAAATTACCTCCTCTTGTGATAAGTTACACTTTGTTAATTTGCATTTGCCTTGCACTTGACAAAACAGAGACTAAAAAAGAGACATAGATAAATAAAAAATATATAAAATACTGAATTGATATGTATGAATTTACACTTAGTAAATACCATACTCAACTGACTTGGTGCACATGCTAGACTAGGCCCCACCCCTACTTTCTAAGCGTTAGACGTGTCAGGTCAGAGGACGTTGTTTCAGGTCGAATAATGCAGAAAAAACATAATGACAGGAATTGTTTGTCATTGACAGTTTGGCTTACCATCAAAAACATTCAACAATGAAGATAATGATGAAGATTTTTTCCCCCACAGAACGTAATTTTATACAGTAAATTCTGATGGTATGTTAATAATGTAATAAAATGCGCATACATTTTGTGAACATATCTGTTTCTTCATTGTTAAAGTGTGGAAATCAATGATGATGCAACTCGGTCATTTCGAACAAGTACGGTACTATTTGGTGAATAAAACAAATATCTGACTTTAACAGAGACTAATTATTTGAGCTTATTTGAGCTTAAAAATGATGAACATATATGCCCTGGAAAAAAATAACAGAGCCAAGAGAAGTTTTTTCCATGTGTGAATTCATTGTGGCCATGAATAATTTTGGACCAAATGTCAGACTACAGTCAATAATCATACATGATTCCTTGCTTGAAATTATGGAATTATTCAAACTAGTCTGGTTAACCCTGTTTTGAAATACATGTACATTGGTTAAAGTACAGATTTGTTGTGAAAAGTGTTCCATCTGTTGGCCTAGCCC